CCTCTGTGCAGAAGGCTGCTCCGGAGCTTGGGTGCTCCCATTATTAGTGGCTATGTCCACCGGTTATCTCACGTCTACACCTTGCAACCCCAGGTGTTCCTTCATCCATCATTGACCATTGTCTGGTATCCAGGCCTCCATCCCCCACCACCTCTGCCACACAGGCCTTCTTGTTAATAAGCCAGTTTGTTCATATCCTGAAAACTATCTGATTCTGGCACCTTTTATCCCAAACACCATCCATCCATCAACTGCTTGCTCCACAGGCTTGGTTAGGAAAATGGGAATAAGGGAGGGAGACAAATAATAGATAAAACTTCTTAGCTGCTATCTCTAAAAAAATAGAATGGATAAATAGACCCGTCAGACATGTATCATGCTACTGGACAGCAAAGTCCATTTGTTAAAAATAGGTTAGGATGGGAGGATTTATCTCACATTTTAAGCTGTTAATATAGAAGGGAAACATATTTTCCTTTATCTCTCCCAGGGGTTGGGGGAAAACCCCAAGGCCATGAATGCAGAATTTTTAACTCGATTTGATGGACTCTCCTTGACTGAAGTGGAAAAGGCAGGCACTTTCTTAAATGTGTGTAGCCTGTAGGGAAGGCATGGGCTCTCTTCTATGCACCCGGAAGTTTGCAGGACCCTGGGGTCGTGGGGAAAAATCTTCCATGGGGTTCTCTCCCAAAGATTTCTGCACACCACATGCAAAGCCTGTTTTGGAGCCTCTCCCTCTAGCACAGCCATTTTCAACCGGTGTGCCCCAAGATTTTTTAAAACAGCACTACCTGACTATTTAGTCAGGGCCACTGATCTCTTTTCCCATTGTCAAAAAATGATAACAGCCAACAAAATAGCCATCCAGTGTGAATCAATCAAAATTATACCTTTTTTTAAATCAAATCAGTGAAAAGCATAATATATTGTTCGGTGTGGCACAGAATTTTAGTTATTACTTTATGTGTGCCATGAGATGAAAAAGATTGATAATCACTGCTCTAGCACAGAGGGACCAGAAAGAAAACAGACTTTTACTGGGAAGCTCCAAATACTATGTATGCTAGATGCTGGGGCTCCAGAAGTAAATATTGGTCCCCATCCACCCTGCAAGAAGTCATGGGGTGGGGGAGGATAAGAGAGGACAAGTAGGCTACAGTGATGGAGTATGTAAAATACTGTGACATAGAGCCATATGAGGGGCAGCACCTGATGCAGTGTGGCAGAATGGCAGGGGTCAGGGTTGGCATTCTGGGTGCATGGACACCTAAACTAGACCATGAAGACCCTTGGTGAAAAGACAAAAGGTAGGAGCTTGCAGGTGGGGATGCTGTCTGGGTAGTGTGTACAAAGCCCTATTAGGGAACTAAATTGGAAGTAGTTCATTCATTCAACAATATTTATTGAGCCCCTATGAAGACCAAATACTATTGTAGCTACTGGAAATCTAGCCATGAAAAAAGAAATTGCATATTAGTGGGGGAGATATACCAAGGTGGGGGAGGATAAACCCTTCGTATGTTTCCTCAGGTAGTAATAAGTACCATCTAAGAAATAAATGCAGGTAAAGTCTTTGGAGGGGTAATATTTGAGCAGAGACTTGACTGAAATGAGGGAGTGAGTCTTGGGTGAGCTCATTTAGAGATGAGCTCATTTAAGGGATGAGTTTTCAGGCAGAGGGGACAGCAAGTACAAAGGTCCTGAGGCATGAGAGAGCTGGGCATGTGGGAGGAACAAGAGAAAGACTTGAGCAGTTGGAGCAGCATGACTGAGAGAAGAGTAAATGGAAGAAAACAAAGAGAGAGAGCCAAGGGCTGGTGATTACAGGGCTTTGTGGATCATGTTAGGGACGATAGATTTTTAGTGCATTTGACTCAGAGAGTCTGAAATGGGAGGATGGAACAGTACATTGCATCAGATCAGAGACAACCTTGTGAATCCAGTTCAGAATGCTCGGGTCTTATAACAATGTCTGTGGGGTGTTGAACCTCCAGGACAACTGAGGGGAATAGGAGAATGACTGACAAGTGTGTATTTATGGAAATCTCCCAGGGCCAAGCACCAGCTTCCCTCAGGAAAGGCCCAGAGACCAAACTCAAGGTCCAAACGCAGCCTGAGAATGTCCAGGGCCCATGACCAGTTGCTGAGCAGTAACTGTCCCCAACCTTCATGGTTTCCAACCTCTGTGACTGCACAAGCTATTTCCTCATCTTCCTTTGCTTATCTAACTCCTGATTATTTCCTTGACCTCTCTGGCCATCTACTCCTCCTCCAGATTGTCTTTCCTGTACCCACAGCCCCTGCGTTTCCTGCTGGTACCCCTCCTGCCATTGTTCACAGGCCTCCCCTAGACAAAGTGTACTTCTGGGGTGGGACCATGTCTGATTAATTCATTTCTGTACCTCCAGCACCCAGCACGGGGCCTGGCCAAGAGCTCACCCATTCCTGAACAAAGGGATAGCAGCCTCCCTCCATGGTCCTCATGGAGAACAAGGGCCCATTGCTCATCCTCATCACAGTCCCTCCTTTGTGCTGCTCCTGATGGCTTCATGCTGCCATCTCTCATTCCTGCAGTGTGGTTTTTGAAGCCTACCCTTTCTCTCTGTCCATTTTCTTCACCCTAAAGGCATAGTGTTCAGAAGAAATTCATTGAGTGCGGATTTCTTTAGATCTTCCTCTATCTCAAAGGAGGAAAAAGGAAAAAGCATCTCCTGATGCTGCTACCTATAAAACCTAGACTATAGATCTCCTGAAAGGACCCGAGGGAGTATCCATTGGATGAGTTTTCTGCCTTTCTCTCAGAGAGAGCCAGGCATTCTTGAAGAGGGGAAGGCACAGGTCCAGTGAGGGGCTGCAGCTGTTGAAAGTGCCACTGCTGCTGTGTTGTCATGTCTCACTCTGTAGGAGGTGCAGAACCTTCAGAGGAGGGTCACAGGCTCTGGTCTGGGTTCTCTGGCTCAGATGACAGGTAGATGGCATTGCTCAGCTTGTGGTCTTGGCTCACACTCGATCCAGGCAATCGCTTAATCCCAACAGTCTCAGCTCCACCCACCTAGATGACCACACTTACCTCCTAAGGGGCTCCCTTGCCTCTGGTTTCTTTTCTCTCCCCTGTACCCCACACACCATCCTATACCCTCCACTGGTAGACAGCAGAGAGCAAAGGTAGAGGAGCATATGCTTGATGTGATCTTAAAAGCTTGATAAGACAAGATAAAATAGAACAGACAAACCTTACTGTGGCTGCCCTTTTGTTTGGTCACATACCCCATTTCCCATGTAATGCCTCCTGGACTCAACCTTGGCAGCATTGGAACCACGTGGGGAGCTTTGAAAGCTACTGATGTCTGGCTCCCACCTCCAAAGGCTCGGATTTAATTGGTCTGGGGTGCAACCTCCGGACAGCAGTGTTTTTACTCCCCAGGTGATTCTAATGCGCAAGCAAGACTGAGTACCACAACTTTGGGATCAAGTTTGAATGTCCTCTAAATTGCTCTCTTGGCCTGGCCAGTCTGGCCTCCCATTCTAGCATGTAACCACCCCTCCCCAGGAAATAACAAATGGAAATTAGTTATTAGTGTAGATTAACTTAAAAAGTAAGTTAACAGCAGGTATAGAAGCAATAAGGAAGTCTTCTTTTTTCTTCTTTCAGATAGAAGATCTAGAGTTCAGGAATAAACTTTTAAACTATAACTTTTAATTAATAATAGTAACAATAATAAGATTAAGAGTGATACCAATAAATTGCATGAGACAGGCACTGTTTTAAGTATTTTATATAACTTATTTCTTTACATTCACCATCATCCCCACTCTATAAAATTCACACAAAGAGACCAGTCTCTCCCCGACCTGGCCTCCCTTGGCACTTATTTTATATCCACATATTTGGGCATTAGCTAGACAATTAATTTTCTGTGTCCCTAAAACCCATTTAAATTGTATCATGTCTATATAAGTCTTATTATCACCCTAAAAAGATTGAAGATTCTGGAAGGATAGAAGGACTCTGGAAACATGTTTCTTCTACCAACTGGGAATACAAATTCTACCTTTCAGGAGCTCACAATCTATAGGAGAAACTTATAGGTAAAGAGAAAAGCCAGTGCAACACAATACATCCAGACTGAAGTGCTGTGAGATACTGAGGCTGGCTGGTATGATTGGCTGCCATGCAGGTGTGGCAGGGAAGGTGCACTGATCATTATTGGTGGGCCCCTCCAATCTATGCTCCACTCTGGGTGCCTGACTAATATGGACCCCATCTTTGAACTGTTTCCTGAGCTCAGTCCCTCACTTCATCCACAGGTACTTGTTAGGTCCCTCCCAAAGGAAGGCACAGCCCTGGCCTCTGGGGATACAGTGCAGAACCAAACAAAGCTAATCTCTGCCCTTAAGATGGGCAGATGGGTCATAGTCACTGGATACATGGGCACCGATATATAATTACTAGTTGTGAAAAACCCAATGAAGGAAGAGAATAGTGTGACAAAATAATTGGGAGAAACATGATGTTGTGGTAAGAACTTAAGCAAACAAGACATTAATTGAAGGAATACACGAAAACGTTGAGTCAAAATGAAGGAAAATAGAAGGAACTCTAGTCAATCTTTATTTTTTTCTCATTATTTCACTGTGTCTGCTTATCCTACCAACTAATCATTCTATGAATGAACAAATATTACCAAAGAGACAAGATAATTCTCATCATACTTTATTTTATTGGCCTTGATTGGTTCAAGACCCTGTGCCTGCTTGGTACCCCTAAACTTGGGTTGAAATTTCTCCTTTTCTTTGGATGATCAAAGTGCTGTGAGCAGGTCCAAGACTAGCTAACACTTAACACCTAGTTGTTGGATGACTGAATTTTGCTGGTTGTACATGGCCCAGCCTGGTTCCAGACCTGGGAGCCAGCAGGAAAAAGTCCATGTTGATTGGTATTTACTCTCAGCTGCAAGAAGTCATTGTCCAGTGGTCAGTGCAGGTGGTGACACCTGTTGCATGTGTCCCATCCTGTGCCCAGAGGCCCTCAGCAAGCTTGGGTCTGCACGTTCCGCCCTGGACACGAGCGGCCTCCATTCTTCGGGGGAGGATTATTGCACTCTCTCCTCCTTTCCTGAGTGCCTGCCGAGCAAGCAGACCAAGCGCTCCAGCAGCTCCAGCGACCCTCCGCCTGGGCTCCTGCACAGAACATTTCCCAGGGGAGAAAGAGGTTAGCATACAAGCAGCAGTTCAGACCCTATGGAAGGAAGATCGCCGCTGCCCTAGAGTGGTCTGCGATCTCTCCTTGGGGAAATGCCTTGGTGGAGCCAACCAAGACCTATGCTCGCTGTCTCACACTTAATTTCAAACTCTGGATGGAGAGAAGGCCCCTGAGAGCCTTCCATGGTGGTTCCATGGAAGTTGGATAGCAGAGTAAGGCGGGGAGGCATGACCTTCTGTAAGAAAGACAGCCATGGAGGGTGTGAGGAGCAGGGAGCAGAGCCCAGCTGGGGATTCACAGACACCAGTGTGGAGAGCATCGCTGGGCATTTGAACGAGGGCTTACAAATCAAAACCCCTCAGGCTCTGACAATGGGCCAGGGTGGGTGACAAGCTTTCTGCACAGAGCATCAGAACACAGGCTCTGACCAGGTGCCTCTGGAAATCCATGAAAAAGCCCATGTTGATGGGCATTTACTCTCAGCTGCAAGAAGTCCTATCCCGTGGTCAATGCAGGTGGTGACATCCTGCAACCCCGCTAGCCTGGGGTTGCTGTTGCCTCCTGGCTCTGTGCCTGTGGGCAAGCTCATCCCCCTTCTCAGCCTGAGTTTTCACCTTTGTCAAATGAGAAGGGTGGACTAATCTGGTGCAGTTTTTCCATCATTACTTTTTTCATTATTTATTTATTTATTCCTAAAATGAAGCATTTTATGGGCCCTAACGTGGAAGTCAGATGAGAGTGGAGCTGTTCTATTTGAAGCTGGGATGTCTATTAGGTTTGCTCTGCTCCACTGGGGCAGCCCCTAAGTCCCCAGTTTCCTCAGATCCCAGTGTGACTCTCATTGGATTAGATTATCTACAAATTCCTTCCAGCTCTGTAATTATACTCCCTGGTGGGGCAGCCACAGCAGGGTTCTCCGTCTATATTTCTCCACCTCTGTGACTGTCCCCACAGGCAAAAAGGTTTGCTGGGAAAGTCTCGAGGGACCTGCGTCAATGAGTCTCCACAGAGGCTGACTCCCAAGCCTTAGATTTTTTATTCCGATTGATATGTCAGGTTAAAAGTTCAGTCTGATAGCCCCAAGGCCACCTGATGTCCCCATCCTGTTTGGGACAAGGTCAATGGAGCACCACGGGCTTTCTGCAGTTGACTGACTGTAATCGTGTGAGAGGAATGGTGCTGTGAGGAGGAGGACCCAGGCCTCCATGCCCTGCCATCACCCTGTCATTGGCATCTTGACACCCATCTCCAATGCACATCGTATGTACAGATGACTCAGCATGGACCAGTTCTAAGCCCAGCACTGGACCATGGAAAAGCATGTCTAGGTAGTTCCCACTCCCTGTTCTCTCTGTCTCTATGTTGTGTGGACAGGGATCCAATTAAGTCACTGGTTCTGAGGCCCTTTGACATGCTATAATTATACTTATCCAGGCTTGGGCTCACATTTGTCCCTTTAAGCCAAGTCAGGCTGATAACTGAACTAGGACATACATACTTTCCTTCCCCGCCCCCACCCTCCATCACCAATGGTAGTCAGTGCAATCATCTCAGAATCTCTGCCCTCATTTCCTAGATTTCCTGATTCTTGGGATGTAAATCAGTAGAATGCAGCAGTTAAGAGCTTGGATCCTAGCATCTGACTGCTTGGGTCTAAAGCCTGGCTCTGATACTGCTCATGAGTAGTTATCTCATCTTCCTCCTGCCCCAGTTTCCTCATTTTTAAAATGGGGCTATTAATAGTATTTCTCTCATAACATCCTTGGGGGAGAGTGCCTGGCACAGAATAAGAGTGAATTATTCTTCCTACTCGTTGACCTTGGTCCCTCTGGGAAAGCTGCCTGGACAATAGGGGCTGAAATCCCATCCACACTCTGCTTGAAAAGTCAAGAAATCCTTGGGCTCTGTAGCTCTAAACCACTGAGCTTACAGCAGCCCTAGGAAATGAATGCATTCTTCCAAAATTGAACCCTATTGACCATACACACTTTGGCGAAAAACAGTTCTCATCCAAGGGAGGGTCTTAATGGCAGAGAGCAAGGATAAGAACCATTAACTGTGGGGTCAGCCATAAAGCTCAGCATGAGTGTTCTTAGGGTAGGGGGCAAGAGGGCACAGGACAGAAAACCTGGGGACCCCAAAGCCCTCCCGCACTGGCCTCTCTGAGCTGGGCCGGGTTTGGACCTGAGTGAAGATGCACAAGCCTTACCTTCTTGCTCCATTTGCTCACAGGCAAGGCCCTTGCGACCCATAGGACACTGGCATTTGCAGCTGGTGCCCTCAAGGATGGGCACCCCGTTGTTGAAGCAGGGCCCGCAGCGGCAGGCATTGAATTCCATCAGGTACTGATCCAGGGCCCGCTTCAGGTTCTGGCGTTTGGCCTCCAGGGTTCCCAGGTTCACGTGCCGCAGCAGTTCGTGAATAGGCTGTGTCTGGGCAGAGGAACAGAGGCCCTCCCTGGGATCATCCAAGTTCCCAGAACCCAAGTGCTGGCCATCAAACTCCTGGAAGGCCTGCTCCATGGCAGGCACAGAGCCAGGCTCCACACCATCTCCCTGCACTTCATCCTTGCAGCCACTCTGTGGAACCCATAGATCAGTCGTTCTAAATCTGTGGGTCGCGACCCCTTTGGTGGTCGAACTACCTTTTCACAGGGGTCACCTAAGACCATCTTGCATATCAGATATTTACATTACGATTCATAACAGTAGCAACATTACAGTTATGAAGTAGCAAAGAAAATAATTTGGTCACAACATGAGGAACTGTATTTAAAGGGCCAGAAGGTTGAGAACCACTGCCATAGATGCAGAGTGGGGGCTCAGGAGTGAGTGACCAGCTCAGGATCAAGCAATTAAGTGCAAGAGTCACTCTGAACATAGACCTACCTAACTCTGAAATATCTGGTCCCCTGATCTTCTAGGAAGAGGGGAACTCAAAAGCCATTTAGCCCTAGCCAGTTTGGCTCAGTGGATAGAATGTCGGCCTGCAGACTGAAGGGTCCAAGGTTCAGTTCTGGCCAAGGGCACATGCTCAGGTTTCGAGCTCAATCCCCAGTGGGGGATGTGCAGGAGGCAGCTGATCAATGATTCTCTCTCATCATTGGTGTTTCTCCCTCTCCCTCTCCCTTTCTCTCTGAAATCAATAAAAATATATATGTATATTTTAAAAAGCCATTTGTGCCAACTTATCTGCCCCCTCCAGCACTTTTAGGAGTCAGGAAGAGTGTAAAGGATTTGTGTGTGTGTGTGTGTGTGTGTGTGTTGATTGTTAACCTTCAATGTAGGAGTTAACCAAGTCCTTGATAGGTAGTTATTCTGTCATTGCTGATTACGTGTTTGGGGAAAGGTGGGCATCATTTCCACTTGAGGCAACCCATTCCAGGCATGAATGGCATCCAGGATTCCTCAGCCTCAGCCCGCACTACCGATTTTCCAACTGGATAATTCTTCGTGGCAATTCCTGTGCATTATAGGATGGTTAGCAGCATCTCTGGCCTTTACCCACTAGATGCCAACAGCATCTCCTGGTTGTGAAAACCAAAACTGTCTCCTGACATTGTCAAATGTCCCCAGGGACAAAGCCACCCCTCCTGGCTGGGCAGTACTGTGGCAGATGTGGAGAGCTGGAAGCTGGAGGAGGAAACCCAGCTGTGTGATCTCAACCTCATTACCAGTGGAGCTTCCCTTCCTCCTCTGTAAAGTTAGAACAAGAATCCTTCTTCCCAGGTTTACTGTGAGGATGAAAGCTGATGGACGGACACGGCCTGTCACATAGTAAAAGCTAAATAAATGCTGCTCACCTAATAGCTTTGTGGCTAGAACTCCTAATTTCTCCTTTCTCAGCCTGAGCCTCATTACCTACAAAATGGAAATAAGAACTCATTTCCTAGAATCCTTATGAAAATCTGAAGAATGGATGTGAGATACCATTGCAAAAGGGAAGAACAATCCTATCTAATAAAGAGGGAATATGCTAATTGACTGCCTTGCCCTAAAAGATGGCGGCGCCCACAGCCAATAAGGAGGGAATATGCTAATTGACTATCACACCCTCAAAGATGGCAGCACCCACAGCCACAAGATGGCGGCACCCAATCCCCTCAGCCCGCCAGCCTACCAGGGCTGGCCCAAGGCATAAGCAAGCCTCGGCTGTCAGCTGCCCAGCTGCCCAAAGCCAACTGAGGCTCAGCTAACCAGAGCTGGCTGAGGCTTGTGCTGCTGGCAGGGACAGCAGCAGAGGTGTGATGGGGTGTTGCCTTCCCCTGATTGCCAGGTCGCCTCCTGCCCCTGAGGGCTCCTGGACTGTGAGAGGGGGCAGGCTGGGCTGAGGGACCCCCCCCCCAGTAAATGAATTTTCATAACTGGGCCTCTAGTATAAAATAAAGCACTAATTTTTATTAGTTAGTTGTGATGATAGTAAAAAAAAAGCCTATATTTTTCAGTTTTTGTGTACATATGGTTACCTTCAGCATGCTTCATAATGCTCTATATTTTATCACACAATCATAAAAGAAAAGCTCATTTCCAGATCTCTCATTTTACAGGACAATCACCTGAGGCCCTGAGAGAGGAATCACTTGCTAAGATCACCGGGAAATTCTGTGAGAGGATTGAGCCATGCTGGAGCAATCTCCCTTCTCTGGAACCAGAGTCAATGGAGGGCATGGCCATAGCCTTGAATGGGTTCCTGGAAATGTGTACGGAGAGACCTGTGGCAACAGACCTTGGCCTGTGCTCAGGGGCTGTGGCTGAGGTCATCAGGCTGGTCATGGCAGGACTGGCTGGGCCTCCAGCCAAGGGAAGGACACCACTTACTGGAAGTCCAGGGCCCATGGCCCATCGTGAGGAAGTCAGTGCAGCCTGGGCCACCCTGGGGCCTGGTTAAGGTGACTTAGTCCCAGGGAAAGCCCAGGACCACCAGCAGCTTCCCTTTGACCTTCCAGCAAACTTTAGCACTCAGTCCCAGGTCTCTCACCTCTCCCTCCCAGAGCCCTCAGGGAGGGGAAAGGGAGCACTCCTTAATGCCGGAGGTACTTACAGGAGGGAAGAGGGGTGGAGAAGAAGAATCTCAGAATGCTGTTTCCATTTTACAGATGAGAAAATAGATTCAGAGAAGGCAAGTGGTGTGATATGGCAACACAAAATAGCCTAATACATAACTCATAATAATACAGGGTGTCCCCCCAAAATCAATACACACTTTAACAGCTGATAACTCAATTCTGAAAATGTAATCCTATCTAATAAAAGAGAAACATGGTAATTGGTGTACGACCACTACCCTTCCCATTGGCTAATCAGCGAGATATGCAAATTAACTGACAGCCAAGATGGCGGACAGCAGCCAGGCAGCTTGAAACTAACATGAGGCTTGCTTGCCTCAGTGACGGAGGAAACCAACGTTCCCCGCCTGCGGCTGCAGGCCTCTGAGCCTGCAGTTTAAGAAACTATGTAACAAATACTGCGGGACTTCAGCCGGCAGGATTGCAACATTGTATGCAAAGGCCAGAAACCTACTTTCAGTAGCGGAGGCCTAAGAGCTGGAGCCAAGCCTCAAGCTAAAGCTGGTTCAGAATAAAATTAAAAAAAGGAAAAAAGGAGCTGTTGGGAGTTTCAGTCACCCCCAGACTGAAAACAGCCCTCAGCCCATGACCCAGACTGGCCAGGCACCCCAGTGGCGACCCCCACCCTGATCCAGAACCCCCTTCAGGGGTAACCAGCCAGCCCCCACCCGTGCACCAGGCCTCTTTGCTATATAGTAAAAGGGTAATATGCCGCCCAGCACCGGGATCAGCGGAGCCATGAGGCCTCCCGGCACTGGGATCAGCATGACAGGGGGCAGCACCCAAACCCCCTGATCGGCCCTGCTCTGTGCGTGACAGGGGTTGGCGCCGCAACCTCCCCATCGACCCTGCCTTGAGTGTGACAGGGGGCAGTGCCCCAACCCCCCAATCGGCCCTACCCTGAGCGTGACTGAGGGTGGCATTGCAACCTCCCAATCTGCCCTGCTCCGTGCATGACAGAGGGCGGCGCCCCAACTCCCCAATCGGCCCTGCTCTGAGCCCGACCAGGGGCTGCACCTAGGGATTGGGCCTGCCCTCTGCCACCCGGGAGCAGGCCTAAGCCAGCAGGTCGTTATCTCCTGAGGGGTCCCAGACTGCTAGAGGGCACAGGCCAGGCTGCGGGGCCCCCTCTCCACCCCACCCCCCGAGTGCACAAATTTTTGTGCACCAGGCCTCTAGTGTATTTTAATAAACACTGCCTTTCTAATTATTCAAAAGTGTGTGTATACATTTTGAGGGGACATCCTATATATAACATACAGCATCACCACTTCACACAGCATGATTCCGACATTTACTCACTCTAAATATCTGCCATAAATAAGTACTGATGAGCTCTGGGATGCACAAGTGAGTAACTGTTTCCATGCTGATCATCAGGTTCCAAATAACCCCCTCACTGGGCCCCTTGCCCACAGTGTCTCTCTCCTTCCATTCATCCCTCACACTTCTGTGAGCATTCTCTATTTTTAAAGCACAGATCAAGCTATGTCACTTTCTTGCTCTGTAACACACCAATAGGCTTAATGCATCGAATCCAAACTAGTTAGGTAGAAATATAGGTTGTGGTTGTGGGTGTTAGAGTCAGTCAGACATGGCTCCAGTTGGGCTCAGCCATTTACCAGACACGAGCCTTGGCCGGCACACTTAACCTCCATGAACCTGTTTCCTCAACTGACATCTTCTAAGTGCCCACTTTTCTCTCCCCAACCTTGGGACAGAGCATGTCATTATCCCCATGTTATAGAGTGGGAAAATGGGGCTCAGAAAACAGTTGTTTGTCAAAGGTTATACATCAAAAAGTTGCTGAGCCATGAGCCAAAATCTACTTTCTCACCCCAAACTCAGTCTGTCTTTCCCAGAAGATAGCATTCGGTCTTCTCCAAATCATTCAGTCCTCCCCTTGAACATTTTGCTCAAGGCAAATGCAAAATTCACCTCTTGCCCATGAAAGTTTGTATATTACTCCTGCTATCAATTTTACAGTTTTTCCCCAAATCACTAATAGCTTGATGATAGCAATTTTCAGACCCTATGTGAATTACAGGGTCTGAATTGAAGAAGAAATAAAATCAGGGTTCATTCATCTCACCTCTTTCTTCATAGAGAGCAGGGTTGTAAAAGACTTTTAGATTTAGATTTAACTGTTTGTATATATATTTTAAGAAGAGGGATGTATCCATTACCCGAAGTTTTAATTATGTGTAGAAAATTGGCCAGGGTCAGGAGAAAGTGGGCAGGAAAACAATCATATTTTATTTTAAATCCCCCAATATAACTCTTTTTTAATGGATTAGCCTTGCATAGAAATAGAATTAGTTTGACAACTGGTAAAACCATGACCTATTTTCAGTTTGAGTACAATTTTACTCCCTTTGCAAGGTTAGGAATTAGGGCAGAGTTTCTCCATATTGGCACTATTGCCATTGAGGGCTAGATATTTCTTTGTGATGTGGGCTGTCCTTTGTATTGTGGAATGTTTAGCAGCATCCCTGACCTCTCTCTCTAGATGCCAGAAGTACCCTCCTGGTTGTGACAGTGAAACATGTCTTCAGACATTACCAAATTTCCCCATGGGAGCAAAATTGTCCCCAGTAATTGATAATCATGACTTTAAGGAAGGAAGTAGGATAGAGGGAAAATGAGAACCAGATGTGAAATCCAAAGGTCTGAGATCCAGTTACCACTACATATGAGCTCTGGGACTTTAAACAAATCACTTGAGTCCTTGGAACCTCGGTTTCCTAATCTTTTCAATGGGGAGAATCAAGGCCTTGCCCGGGGTTCATTGTGGTGAAGGGATGAGATCATTTCAAGCAAACGACAGTTACAGCTCAGGATAACTCACCCCACATGTGGCCTTTGAGCTATGAATGGGATTTATATTTTTAGAAGGTTGTAGAAAAACAAGAAGAAATAAAACTTGTCTGACAGAAACTAGATGTGGCCCACAAAACTTAAGATATTTACTATCTGCTCCTTTATGGAAAAGTGTGCCTATCCCAATTTAGCAGATGTGTTTTTAAATCTTATATGTATAAATGCAAATTTCTTAATGTCACCCAATCCTGAAGAAATTCTGGGATGACTGGTGTAAAACTGGGCACTAACCAGATATAACACGTCTGGCCCTGCTCTCCTGTGGCCTGGGTCTAGTCACAAACTCCCTAGAGTCAGGCGTGGGGAGGCCACCGGTTCAGTGTGCCGTTAACATTTAATCTTACCCTTTGATGGGCTCATAATAAGAAATATGAAATGATCTGGTCTGTTTCACTTTCATTCCTCATGGACGTAGAGTTTCTTCAACTGCGAAAAGACTTACCTCAAAATCAATAACAGCAGGATTATACTTTAACGACCGCCCCCAGGAACGGTACGAAATGAAGCTCTTGTTGTGTGCCAAGCCAGTACCCCAGCCAGAATTGCCACCTCGCACCTGAGCAATGATGTCTTCCACAAGCCTGTTATCTTCGTCAGTATCTATCAAGAGGATAATGGTGTTAGCTCATTTCCCAAAAGCCAAAGGATGGGTTCACAAGAGCCACTAATGATATTTGGGACAAAGTTTATATGCTGTCCTTAGAGCTGTTGTCCATTCTGTTTTGCTCAGTTAACTAACAGGACAAAGCAGAAGAGAAGGACCAAGACTTAGCAATAGAGCCTTCCTCTGAGGTAGAGCTGGCAGTGGGAGGACAGCCCAGCCCAAAATGGAGGAGGGAGAGGGTGGGAAATGGATGATCATTCACTCATTTATTCATTCACCTGTCAAATGCTTACTCAGTGCCTGCTATATGCCAAGTATGTTCAATTAAACAGTGAAGGTCTCTGTGGGGCTGAGTAGGGGTGCAGGGAAAGACATGGTCAGGATGGGGAGGGACTGAACAAGAAGAAATTGAGTTTTCTAGAAAAGTGAATGAATCTTTGTAGG